ATGAACTTTAGCAAGAAGTAAAAAACTTGCTAAAATTTTAGCAGCATACAGACTAACACATATTCGACATTTCTTCTTTGCTCTGTGAAGCTGTATATCAACAGTTATTGTTGTATACTAAAATTACTTCATGAGAGGCTGACTTCTTTATGTTTCAGAAGTCAAACCAGATTGTAACTGTTTCATCTCTGCACTTTAAAAATTATCTGCACAATAAATATGACTTTGATAACTGTTATTTGTTTATTTTGCACTTTTAATGACCAGCAGTATATTCTGAAACACTCCATGATATTATTCTTGTGTGAGAAATAAAGCATGTATACTACTGTTTAAAATTAGAATTTGATGAATTACCCCAGAACTGATGGATAGATTTTAATGAAATTTTGTATGGATACAAGTTGATATAGTAAATAAATATGTACTAATAAGAGTTTCGTACACATGTAAATTATTTTCGTGAAATTATAGGTGAAATGGTATTTTTTTGTATAATGTCAGAGGTGTAGCATCCACAGGGAGCCAAACTGGCGTAATAGAATGTTTAGAATTAAACATTTTCCAATCTTAGCAAAAGGGGTGCAAAATCTTAACTTGTCCCCAGGCACTGTAAACCCTAGCTGTGACTCTGTATAATGCAACATCAAATGCTTGTAAGAGCCCCGATGCTTTGCCAGAAAAATAAGAATACAAGGGCAAGTTTATTTAACATTGAGTAAATAGCTATCTCACTGAATTGGCAAGATAATACCAAGCTGGTGATGGTTTTGGCTACTAATTTTTGTCACCCACCAAAAGTCATCAAACTTGGTAACCTTTTGATCCAGTCCCTGTATATTGTAATTGAATATAATTCTTATATGTAACTGTAAGCCTATCCAGCCCTCCGAATAATTTCAAGAAATGGAAGGTACTAGAGATTTCGCAAAGGCTGGGGGAAAACTATGTAAAACTGGGAACAGCATCAGTTCCTCAGTTGTATCATTCAGCGTAAGTTTGGAATACTGAGTGATCTTTGAAGGAGCTTTGCCTTTTTAGATGCACTTTGCATGTTGTGTTTAATGTTCTTAGTAGTTTGAAGTGTAACTACTGACTGTGTTCTGTCATATTAAGTAAACTGATATAAGTATTTCTGTGGAAAGTTCCAGAAATGAGGAAAAAAAAAAAAAAAAAAAAAAAAAAAGTTTAGTTGACAATTTGTTTTGAATAGAATATTTTGTAATGGCTGAAGTAGTAAAGTTGTTTGATGTCGTTGATCTTGTTTGGTAAAAATTTAGAACTTTCGTTTTCACATTTACTAAATGTTTGCATAGATATTTAGAAGTTCGAATATATTTGCAAGTAAGAAAATGTTGCAACTCCTTCGGTACTTATATGGCATTTCTTACAGAGAATTGATTTGTGATTATATCTACATATATTATTCATGTGTACTCTTAACAGAGCACAGGTGGGGTGTGTTAGAATTTTTCATAGTATAGAGGGCGCTGTTGCGACGAAAGAATTCGTCTGTGTTTACATCATGTAACTGTCAGTTCGCCGTTGCGATGTGTCTGTGTTTACTAGGCTGGATATTACATACGCCGTCAGTCACCTGAGCCAATTTAATAACAGTCTTGGTGTGTATATATTAGAGCTAAAATGTAAATTTTATTAAGCTATTTGTAAAATAAATTTTATTAAGCTATCATCAGTTCTGTGATCATTCAATCTATTATGAATCTTATACACGCAACAGTATCAGTGGCGTAGCTAGGGTGGGGGAAGGGGGGACTTCTGTCCTAGGGTGCAGCATCCAAGGGGCGCCAAATTGATCTGGTGAAATTGCAGAATGAAATGTTTTCCGTTCTTGGTACACAGAAAGGAGAGCAAAATCTTCAGTTGTCCCCGGGCGCTGAAAACCCTAGCTACGCTTCTGAACAGTATACACCATAAAACTAGTATGATGTTCACATGGAATCTTGATGGGGCTCATCAATGCAATGAGGTTTAAAATACAGGCTACAGTTTCCTTTAACAGTCATATAGCTCTCACAAAGCGACTTGACATACTGGAAATGAGGCAGTTTAACCCTTTGTGGCATGGTGTGCCCAATCTGGGCATACCTAAAAACTTCCCTCTGTACACACAGAAAATTTGAATGAAAAAAGATGTATAGGTTACTCTGAACCTTCCTTATTTATACTAGATGACAGCACAACATAAACCAGTCATATATTTTAGCCATGTTTACTGTTTAAAGACACTCATTTATCTTCCAGATTTTTTTAGAATATAAAATGAATTGTTTGAAAAGAAATTTCTATGTTATTTTCTAGGCTGTATGCTAATCTTCTTATTCTATATTAGTTTTAAATTTTTACCTTGAAATCTTGCCTAAAATTGAACGGCAAACACCAAGAGTGCCCAGAGTGGGATCACTAAAAACTAGGACCAGACCAACAACTGTATCTCTGTTTCACTGCAGCTCTCCGGTGAGTTTATTCACAGTAGAAAGGTGGGTCCACATCTGTGTTTCATTTCTCCCTCCTTTTTTTTTGAAGGTGAGGTTTGGTTATCAACTAAGAAGTTGATGGGGTGATTTTCTGAAGGTCAGCAGTAATTTATCAGTTAGCTGTTTTATTTTTCACTAGAGCAGTTTTCTTTTTCTCTTTTGCTTGCATTCAAAGAAGTTTTGTTAGTGCTACGTTTTGAGTTGTAGACGTTTAGTTAATTTTATAGTTTAGATTTTCTAATTGTAAATTATATATATATATATATATTATATTGGTTTTTAATTATTTTGCAAATGGCTTTGCAAATTGAGAGGGCTTTGAATTGCTTTCAGATAGTTAATCTGATACGGATCCCAGTACATGTGCAAAGCATGCAATGTTGGGTTGTGCTTTTTCAAAGGTGGTTTTACTTCAAAAAGTGCCAACATGGGGAAGGGGGGAAAAGATGAAATGTAAATACTGTAAATATCATATACACAAGTTAATTTTTTTTTTCATTTATATGCATGTAATCATCATACAACCAAGAAGAGCTTTTTTTTGGGGGGGGTAGAGTAGCAGGCGTCCCTATGGTACACCCTTGGTAATGCTAAATCTGCTACGGTATTTAGAATCTAGTGTTTTTTAATCATAGGCAAAATCTTTTACTCTATTATGCGCTTCCTTGCAATGCTCGCTTCAGCCCTCTTTTCAAAGCTCTTTTCATTCAGTGAGCCCGCTTCGGGCACATACACAGAATCAAAAAGTTAAGTGTTATCTTTGCAAAATTTACCTGTGCATTCCTCTAGGCCTGATTATACAGCCTACTTTTTTTTTTTTTTTTTTTTTTTTTTTTTTTTGTGAAATTCTAACTTTAAAAGATAGTGTGTTGGAAAGGGTTAAGAGTTAATGTAATAGATGATTTCTCTACCGCAATAATGCTGTTTTCACGTCCAGGGAATTCTAAAGCAAGTTGCAGTTACTCTCCCAAGAGCATCCCGGATATGTTCTAAGGATTTGGAGATATGGTTGGCCAGTCCATCTGGTTAATATCCTTATTTTCAGAAAAATCATCCACCAAATTAGCACTCTATGAATCAGATGTCATCCAGACAAATGAATTAAGGACCACTGCACCCGTACAAAGGCAAATTTAGAGTTTTTAAAATCTCATCTGTTAGCAGGAAGACCTGCTGCTTATATCCCACCCCACTTCTAAACATAAGAGAGCCCATTTAGTATGATACAAAGAACATTGACATTGAATGAAGTATCAGTGTTGGCCTTTGTACTTTACAGATGAGACCTAACTATAGATTCTCAGCATTCTTTCATCTAGAAAGAGCCCACTACCTGTTTTTCAATATCTGAGAAAGGGATTCAAATAGTGGAAATATGATGTTCTAAACAGGCATCACTTTGGATGAGCATTTGGATCATCCACATCTTTGACGAGGCTCTGCGACTACTGTGATATATAGGTAAGTTATTTTAAAGTCCTAGGCTTGCTTTTTCAGGCGTGCAGTTGACCCTTCAGTTTTTTTTTAATAGATAATAACTGCTGCCCAAATAGGGCTAATCTGATGGATGATTTTCTGGAAAGTGAAAACATTAACCAGGTAGAATGACCAACAGAAATTCTAACCCTAAACTCTATAGAATATGTCTCAGACACTTTCAGAACAGCAACTACAACTCGATATCTCTCAACTAGAAATCTTCCAGACCAGAAAATAGCACTGCTGCAGGAATGAGACCAATTGCTACACAGATTTATAAACTTCCCCTTTTACAGTTTGAAGTTATGCAAGAGCTGTATGACTATTTGAGTACACTAAACTCCATATTAATTCCCTTTTTTTATTCATCTTAAACCTTTGTTTTAGACCTTCTTCCACCAATGAGCCTAATATATGATCATGGCTGTACTGTGTTGTATTTTTTAAAAAAATATTATATCAATATACGTTCTTATCAAATTTTATTAAAATCTGTCCATCCATTATGAAAATAAGAGAAAAATTCAAAAATTCTTTTAATTTTGAACACTAGTGTACATATTTGCTTATACAGCATCATATATAAAATGATCAAGTTCATTTTATACTTTCACCCTCTACATGGAAAAATTTAACCTGTGGCTTAGTGTTTAAAATGAATTCTGAACATCTATGTTGAAAGAGTTAAATAATTTAGCACAAGATATATTCTTCAAATTTTCAGTAACTTCTCTTAGTCTATAGTGCTGAAGAAATATTACTGCTCAAATCTTAAAACTGAAAAGTTAATATTACATTTTCCTTATAATAATGAATATTTTCCTATACTGAAGAAGCAGCTCTAAGATTTTATTCCATTTGGTACTTAAAAGTATTTTTGAAACAAACAGAACTTTAAATTATATAAATAAAAATAATGTATGTATTATATAAAATCAAATCTGTGATTCAAAATAAAATAAATAAATTTGCAAAAAATAAAAAAATGCATTATTAAAATATTTTAAACTGAAAGTGCTTTACTTCCTGTCTAGCAACATCTGAACAGTCTTCAAATGCTTTTTCTGCTGCAAACTTTGCTTCTTCTGCCTAAAAAACATAAATAAAATATCCATAAACTATTCTGTTTACATACAAAATAAAATATCAGTGGCCTATAATTTAAATTTTATGCAGTTCTACCCTGAACATTAAAATATAAAAAGATGGCTTACAGCTGCTTTCTTTTGAGGTTTGGCTTTATCTAATGCTTTGTTCGCATTCTCATATTCAACTAATAAACATGTCCGTTGCAAGAGCATTTCCTGTTAAATAAAGCATCCTTTTCATTTTTAACTTATATTTCAAATAGAAACCATGCTGAATTTGTATAAATATTTCCACATAACAATATGTATTTTATCAATTAAATATAAATATTTAGAACTTAATGTAAATTTATCTTCTGATGAATTAAATAAATATAAATATGAAGAGACAAAATGCTTAACAAGACTGGAAATGTAAAAATGAAGAAACAAGAAAACTCCAATTTAGCAATTTCTAGCACACTAACAAAAATTGTATTTTAAACTGAGGTACATTAAACCTTTAACTGCTTAAGACACATTTAAAAATTTTCAGAGTTTCTTTTAAAAATGCTTTAGACGTATTTACACAAATTTAAAATCTCTCGAGAAATGTTTGTGTATACACGAAGCCCAAACTTAGCCAAAAATGATCAAGACGTCTTCAGCCGGTATGCTCTGGTCTTCTTTCCTCTACATTTCTGCTGGCAACGGTTACTTGGCGTAAAGCTGTTAATAGAGTGTGAAGTCTGATTGAAAAGAGCACTTTACGGTAGAGTCCTGTGAGTGAAGTATCATTGTCAGACAGCAGGTAAGTATTACCTTTCTGGCAAATGCAAGCTTGTGAATGAAAAAAAATAAATTTACACAGTTTGCCTTGTGGTACTTTATACTAATGGAAGTCAAATAGAATCGCTTGTTGTTATAGTACATTACTGAATTTTGGTAGAAACAGGAAAAAATAAGAATTATAACAGAAGGTGTACTTTTTAATAAATCATATACTATACAATTAAATGTTTTATCTTTGCATTAAAACTTGATCACAACTTCTGATTTTAAAGAACAGGAAAAAATATAATATGTTGCTACCAGCTTTCAAGTTTGCCCTTGTATTTCAAATGTGAGTGTTTTTAATGGTACATCCTTCTTTGCTGCATTTTGAAATGTTAGAACTGTGGTTTCAGCATGCCTGAGTTTTGTAGTCATATGTGTGACTGTGTGTTCACTATAAACATAAAGTTACATGTAAAAATTCCTTGAATGTCGATGGGAAGATATTCTATTCGAAAACTTCAGTTAAATCGAATAAATCAATATGCCAAAGTATTTTAGAGAAATGTTTGTTTTAAACATTTTATTATCAAAATTTGAAATACAGTCAAGAGTCGTTAATCCGGACTCGTCGGGACATCGGCGATTCCGGATTATCGATTTTTCCGGATTATAGATCATCAGTTTAAATCTCGTAAGATGGCATGCAGAAATTCTAAAATTAAAAATATGAAACAGTAATTTATGAAATAAAGAACAATTATGATCTAAAGGGTATCAAAATTTACAAAAAAAAAAAAAAAAAAAAGCTTAATATTTATTTGTTTACTTTATTAAACATTTCTTTCAATGTACGTTGTTTAAGTTGCTTCTTTTATGTGATAATACTTTCTCTTTAATCCTATAAACAGACATAATTTCTTGTTCAGTTACAAAGTTCCGCTGTTCAAGTCCCGTAATTGCTGTGCCGAGAATACCGACTAACTTGTCAATCGAAATTTTTTCGTTTTCACTAACCTCTCTGTCACCTTCTTCATGTCTTTATCCATTTTTTGCAGCAATTCCACTTTTTGTTTGATGGACATCGAATCGAAACATACTTTCGTTTTGTAGATCCTTTGGGCGCTCCAGCATCGGAAATTCTATATTATTTGACATAATCGAAAGTTCAAGTTTACTTTTATAAAATTGCTCTTACAGTCTGAAAAAAGTAATCCAGATCCAGTTCGAAGATTAAGGAACAACACAATCATCAACATTAACTGAAATAGATAATTAGATAATTTTAGCTTATACCCCCAGTTATACATTAAACACGCATGCGAAAACGTATTCTGCACTTGCGTACAAGCATATGCGCAGTCGTAAAGGTCTTACGCGCACGCGTAAACGCCTATGCGCATGTGTTAACACGGCGCATGCGCAGAAAGTTTTTAGCTTTGAGGTCCGGATTATGGGTGTCCGAATTAATGACTTTTGACTGTATAACACAATTTTAAAATCTAGGGGGAAAATATGCCTTTCTTAAAATTGCTTTGGAAAATCTACTGGTATAAAATCTCTTAAAATTAATGGAGTATAAGTCATGAAAAACAGTTAGTGTGTGGAATTAAAGTCAAAAGAATATTTAATTAAAGAATTAATTGCATTGAAAGATTTCATTAGAAAATATATTTATTTCTCCCTAAATGTTGATGCTGATAGCAATTATATAAATGAAAGCTTCTTTAAGATCTGAACTTAATTAACCCAGCGATACGTAATAATTGTGAGTTAACGATTACTTTGCAAATATTTTTTGGTACACATACTATTATAAAAGGATGCCAGCGATGTAGTAGCAAAACTGTTGAATAATGATAGTTTGAAGCAGGTTTGGACTGGCTGCATAGCAGTTTTCGTGGACTTTTGCTGCCAATGTTTAGCATGAATAAGAGCTCATTTCAATTAAAAAGTCTTTCATAAAGATGTGCCTTGACTATGAGTCATTGCTTGGGATTATGTTTGATTTAATTTGTTAGATTATAGCAAAGCACATGCATGCAAACTGCCTAACGGGAGACATGCTTTCATGAAAGACTTACCAAGGGAAACTATCTTATACTCATGTTTAATATTGTTACGTTTTTCTTTTCTGACACCAGTTGTTACGTTACGTATGGGATTCGTGTGGATTTGGAGTGAATAATGACAACACTCGATGAAGTATCGAATAACACACTTTATTGGCCAGTATTGTCAGGACAGCTCCAAAACATGTTTTACAGTCGTCGATGAACTACTATAAACACGGTGACACAATCAGCGACACAGCCTCCAGGTTATCAGGCTATCGCGGTGGAGACAGCTTCACTGCAAAGCACCAGAGTACAGCTCCTGACTCTGCTCGGTCGTTCTGGAAACTCCACGTACTCTCGAGACTCTCCACGCTACAACTTGGGATGCACTCGACGACACATAGAGCACAGCTATCAACTCTTCAGTTCAGTCATTCCCGGAGCTCAGCATGCTCTCTTGATGATGCACTAACTGCGATATACAGATCGTCTCCGCATGGACTAACTAGATGTGACACACTAACTAACTCGCATTTGATGAGGCACATTCTGACTCGCCCTCTCAACGAGGCATACACACTTGCACCAAACGTCGCCAAATGGGTGATTTCTCGCCAAATGTGGCAACCCCGCCTTCCTTTGCCATTTTATGGCAACCCTGAAACTGCTTTGCGGGGAAAGCCATTGACATTTTGTAACACTGCCCCCAAGGACTGCACATCCCGGGCAGTACAACCCTTGGTCAGAAGCCAAATTCGATACAAATAAAACATAATAAAACAAACAAGTAATATAACTAAACAAATATTTACACTATTTACAAGTTAGATACAAAAATTAAACACATCACAATGTTAAAAGAAACAAATATTTACACTATGTTCAAGTATATACAAAAATTAAATGCATAACAATTTTAAATTATACAAAATAAAGTTCTGAATGAATTTCAGTCTCAGTCTATTCACTAAAATATACCCAGGTCAAATACTTTTCCACTGCAGTTCTCAGATATATTTATGTTTTGCATATCACAGTCTGAAGATTCAGTTCTTTCAGACTTTTCATCCACAGGGTGATGTGAAACAGTTTGTTCACCACTCTGCAGTTCATTCGCAGCATGCATACAGTTCACCTCAGTATTTTTAGCAGCTGGTACATACTCGTTTTACCTCGTTTCCTGGAAACCAGCTTCAAATTCTGCGTCAGATTCATGAACGGAGCCAGATTCTTCACAAACACAAGTATCCAGGTTTAGAATCAAGTCCTTGTCTGCAAAATCTGCACTATGAGATGCACACATAATTTGCAAGGTGAGTGAATTTTCTTGCAATACTGGAGCACACTGCTTAAGCTGTACATCAGTTTCCCCCATCTCTGCATCACATGCACTTTCAGATGGTTCAACACTTCCTGACTGCATTTTCATAACTTCACTATCAGTTTCCATGAACTAACAGTCGCATTTTCATTTTTCTTCCACTTCAGGCACTTGAGAATCAAAAGCTTCTTTCCCATCCTTCATCTTTTCAATCTCTCTCTTTAATCTTGTTATATATGTCATCCTTCGTTTCTGGATCTTTCTGAGATAGTTCATTAGCTTCTTCCTTCACTTCTTAATCCTTTGATTTTTCAACTGCCACTTCTCATTTCAACATCGCCATTTATGCCTCCAGTATCTTCCGTAAACTCCACTCTCACCTGTTGAAGTTGCACTCGCACATTTTCTTGGCCGACATTTATTTCTTCTCGCCAGGGTTTCTTATCTTCCAGTCCCGCTTTCAGTGCGGCTTTGATCTCAGCTGTCATCTCTTTATATCCAGATTTTATCTCAGCATTTATCTCATCATATCCGGCTTTTTTATATCAGCCAGCCCGGCTTTCATTTTAGCCTTCATCTCTTCTTGTCCGGCTTTCATCTCAGCCCTATCTCGGCTAAGAATTCCCATCAAAGTCTTTGTTTCCTCCGCCATGGCTTTCCTCTGCAGGCGGGTCACTGGCATTCACTTGCAAATCCCACTTCTGACACCAAATTGTTGCATTTTTCTTTTCTGACACCAGTTGTTATGTTACGTACGGGGTTCGTGTGGATTTGGAGTGAATAACGACGACACTTGATGAAGTATAGAATAACACACTTTATTGCCAGTATTGTCAGGACAGCTTTTACAGTCATCGATGAACTACTATAAACACACTGACACGATCAGCGACACAGCCTCCAGGTTATCAGGCTATCGTGGTGGATAGCCTGATAACCTTCACTGCAAAGCACCAGAGTACTGCTCTGACTCTAATCGGTCGTTCTCGGAACTCTACATACTCTCGAGACTCTCCATGCTACAACTCGCGATGCACTCGACAACACACAGAGCACAGCTGTTGACTTTTCAGTTCAGTTGTTCC